CATACATACATACATACATGCCTGCCTGCATGCATGCATGAATGCATACATGCATGCATGGCTGGATGGATGGATGGATGGATGTATGTATGTATGTATGTATGTGTACGTGTGTGTGTGTATATGTGTACATGTATATATATATATATATATTCAATACATATATTTATGTATATACATATATATATATACATATATATATATATGTACTTATATTTTTTCATTACACACACACATGGTATCCCCCGGTTACCAACAGATTCTTATAGTTTCCTGCTGCAGGTACTGTCTCTTGGACTTCAGGGCTGCTGGGGATGCTTTGAAGGCCACAGCCTGCCCAGCATCATGAGCATAGACCAGAGCATTCGTACATCACGTTGACCAGCATCATGGGTTTAGGGTTTAGGGTTTAGGGTTTAGGGGGGCATACACCAGAGCATCATGGGTATCCCAAGCGCGTCGCACTTCTGCAAGAAAGCTATCAACAGCGATGGACTGCTCAAAAACGACAATCTTTGTGTTGCTGAAGAGCTGTACTGTCACACAAAAACATAACAATCGTGTCAGGTCCTGGGGGCTCGTTGGACAAGGTGTCCATTGGTTTTGGGGGACAGTAGCTCAGTAGTGCACGTTAGCAAAAAAGGGGGTTTTTGGGGACAGCACAGCGTTCTTGATAGTTTTCTTGCTAAAGAGCTGTGCTGCTCCAAACAAACCAATCGTTCTGGGGGCCGGACACTACAGCACTTCAGCAAACACAAGATAACCTAAACCCTAAACCCTAAACCCTAAACCCTAAACCCTAAACCTATCTTTGTGGAGGCCTGGGGAGCTAGCCTCCAAGACTGGACAAACAGTTTTTGGGGGTGGGTCAGTACGGCACTTTGGCAAACAAGACTGGTTTCTTTGCGACAGTACAGCATATTTGCAAGAAAACGAACTAAAGTGCTGTACTGTTCCCAAAAATTTTTGGGAGGCTTCCAAATAGAGTTGGCTGAGTGACCCGCGCGGCGCCCGCGCGGTGCTGTATGTCTTCTCGGTCCTATTAGCGGCTTATTAGCGTATTTACATAGGACTCGTGTTCTGCCGCCTCCCTGAGAGCTGGATACATCGAAGTCTTGGACCCACTACTATGTGTGTGTATATATATATATATACATATACATATAATATTCTAGGTTTATATAGCAGACCCGTAAAATGGGCCCGTTTGAAGCCTTCGACGCTTTTTAGTCGTGTTGCTTCAGGCTTCCGGGGTAGCTCGGGAGCTCAAAACCCCAGTGCAACCCCCTCAATTCCTTACACCCCTTAATTCTCACTGAAAAAGATAACCCCATGGGCCCTATAAACCCCAAATCCTCACACCCGAAACCCAAATTCGCCTAAACCTGAAAATCCAAACCCTAAATCCCTAAACACCCGTTAAACCCCGTAAATCCTGGACCCTAAACCCTTCGTCTGGGAGAGCCTCGATGGGTGACTGTGGTCTGGACGCTGAAGCCTAGGCACTGCAATGGCGCCGTTTAGTGAGTGTGTTTTTGGGTTTTGGGGTTTAGGGTTTAGGATAGCTTTAGGGCTGTTTCTTAGGGCTTAGATGGTTTAGTGGGTGTGTTTTGGGTCTAGGACTTAGGGTAGTTTCGGGCTTAGTGGCTTTAGGGCTTTTGCTTAGGGCTTAGATGGGCTTAAGTTGTTCGGGTCGGCACGGTTCTTGAGTTCTGTTTAGGGTTTAGGGTTTAGGGTCTAGGATAGTCCCAGAAACCCCCACTGGTTCTAGCCACCAAATGGCCAGTGCTACGGCTATGCTTTGCTTGGCTCAAAGGCTGAAACAGGCCGTAAGACTTAGAGCAGGAGATGGGGATCTAGTCTACTGTAGCACTGCAGCGATAAAAGGACCCCCCCACAAGAACAACATTCCCTCATCCTTCAGACACCTCCTTCAAAGACGGACCTTATGGGCACATAGAACAGGAAACCGGAACAACAAACTCACTAAACCTGGGATCTCAGAGGTACTTCAACCCCAAACCCTGAACCCCAAACCCTAAACTCTTAAAATTCGGAGTCGCCGGGTCCGGGGATCTCTTTTGGCCGAAAACTGGCTTTAATGGGGCTTAGGGACGTTAAGGGGTTCTACAGCAGAGGGCTTTTATCGGGTTGAGGGGATGCTTAGAAGGCATGGCTTTCTAGGGTTGAGGGATGCCTACGGTGCAGTTGAGGACTTTTTGGGGTCTGTTTTTTCAGTTTAGGGGTTTGAGACCGTGAAGGGAAGGGCCTTAGATAAATCCCTCTTCTTGCGCCCTTGGAGCAGCCTGCCTCGGGCATAATCCTAATATGGGGATCTGAACAATTCGTTACATTACTCTCTGTCTTCCTGATATCACTGCAGTACAAGAAAGCCCCTATATTAGAACCCTGAATTTCAATACCCCTTACAGCATACGTAATGGAACCCTCGAAGGAACCCTAAACCCTAAACCCCTAAAGCCCTAACCCCAAACCCGAAACCCCTAAACCCTAAACCCTAAACCCCTAACGCCCTAAAC